AATTGAATTGGGCAACAAAGAAAATTTGTGAACCCTACACATCCATCAGCAAGTCCACCAACAATTAAAAACTGTAAATAAACATATACCAAGTCCATCAATAAGCTCGAAATTAACCATATAAAACACAAAGTCATACAAACTTTAAAGCTTACACGTCCACCAACCATGACATAGAATCAAATTACATCAAAGAAATTCAAAGGCACCACACCAAATATTCAAAGCCAAAAAGTTCATCCATCATTACCTGAATGTATCGCCGGAATGAAGCCGCCTCGCCGCCGCCGCTACGGTTTTTTTGACTGGGAATTTCGGATTTGGGAGCAGTTGGGAGATTTTGCTTTTTTTGAAAATTAAAAATGGTTGCTAACGGACCTAAAGACGGTGGCCGGCCCATTGGTGCAGGCACGTTTTGACACGAGTCATGGGCTTGGAATGTCTCACCGAACATCAGCACCGCCCACAACCCATCTAAAATTTGAGGCCCATTTTAGTGGGGTCAAACCAGCTTTAAATAGGGTAAACACAAAATTACCTAGCCCACTACTAAATAAATAAGGGAAATTTTCATGTATACTTATTGATTTTTAAGTAATTGTAATTTTACCATTGAAATCAATAAATTTATGTATATACCTAAAAGATAAAAAAGTAATTATATTAATGCCTAAGCATCTTCTCTCTCCCCGTAATTCATGCTTTCCGTTACCTTATCAAACCAAACCATCTTCTCTCTCTCCCGTGAATTCAGCATGTTGTTATAAAAAAACAAAAAAAAAACAAACAAAAAACAAAAAAAAAAAAATCATTTTTTGATTCTGCATATTGTAACAATAACAATACAATGTTATGTAACCGGCATGCATATAACCCTACATATATACCAGAAATATACCAGAACAGAACAATGTTATGTAATCAGACATGTAACCTTACATATATACTTGACATATACCAAAACAATGTTTCATATATACCCGACATATACCAGAACAATGTTACATAAAATATACTTTAAATATACACTAAAGTTTCAATCGTTTCTCAAAAACGATTTTAGAACTCACATATACATAAAATATACATAAAATATACATTCGAGATTCACCAAATTCAAACCAGTGACAAATCGAAACACACATATACATAAAATATACATAAAATATACTCTCGATGTTCAATCGTTTCTCATTTCAGAACCAAGATCAGGAGCCAAAATCGCAGCCATGACCCTATTCTCTGCACTCGCAAGCTCATTCGACGGCGTCAGTTCTTCCCCTCCTCGACGGCGACGGG